AACTATAATTAGTACTTATTCATATATTATATTTTAAAATCAAAAAACTACTCAGGATATTATTAAAGAAATAAGAGATAATGTTGCTTTTGGAATAAACCACCAATTTCTCTAAATGAAACACTATCTACAGATTTGCATCGAAGCGTTTCTTATGATAGTGATTTTAATCACTGTCAGATATCATCTATACTTGTCCCATCTATGCCTCGTCCACACTGTGTCTCGACCCCACTGTGCTACCGTTTTTTTATTTATTTTTTTTTTTATGTCTGTTCTTTCAACGATACGTCAAAAGATCACAAATTGTATCTAGTCGAAGACATTACCCTTAAAAATTGAAAAAAATTCCCTCGTTCCCCGTAAATGGGGGAAACCTCCAAAAAAATTACAAATTTAAAAATCGCTAATTTTCNTGTAAATGGGGGAAACCTCCAGAAAAATTACAAATTTAAAAATCTAATTTTCGAAATTTTATCAATTTTTTTTACTAAAAACTGCCGTAACTTTTCAAAAATGAACATATCAATATAATTTTTTTTTGTATAGATGTTTGATGTTTTTACTTATCATTTCGTATATTTTTTTTGTAAATCCGACCCTTTATCTGCCCAAAGGGGGAGATTTAAAATTACAACTTTTTCACAAAAAATTAACTTTTTAAAATGTTCCGGGAGGACACTTATATATATATCTTAAATTAAAGCTTATGTGAAGTACATTATTATGGAAAATAAAATTTGACCTTTGGACTTGCCTTCATGGTGAAAATGGCTACCAAATGCTACTTTTGTGTGAAAATTTTCAATTTTATAATTTACATTTTGTACTTTAAAATTCTATAACTTTTAAAAAATGTATGGATCAATACAATTTTTTCATGGGGAGTAGTATTTATATACATCTTTCATTGGACATACTTTTTTTTTAAATCAGACCATTTCCCTATATACGGGGGGGCTTCAAATCTAAAAAATGCATATAGAAAGTAGAACTTTTTCAACTTAACTTTTGAAAATGTTCCGAAAGGTCTGACACTTTTATAAATATCTTAAATTAATGCTTATGTAATATACTTTAATTAAAAAAAAAAATTTGACCTCTAGACTTATCTTCACGACGAAAATGGCTACCGAATGCTATTTTCGTGTGAAAATTCTCGATTTTATTTTTTATATTATATTTAACTTTATAATGCTATAACTTATTGAAAAGTGTATGTATCCACACAATTTTTTTATGAGAAATAATATTTTTTAATAAACCCTTTTTCATTTGACATACTTTATCTTAATCAGGATATTAATAAGGAACTAGCAGATCATGTAGCTTTTGGAATAATCCACCAGTTTTTTAAAATTAAACACTATCTAAAGATTTGCATCGAAGCGTTTTTTTTTTTTTGTATAGTGATTTTAATCACTGTCAGATATCATTATACTTGATCCAACTATGCCACGTCACCACTGTGCCGCGACCCACCATTGCTGGTTTTTTTTTCCTTTCTTAAATATCGAAATATGCATGGTTTATATATATATATATATATGTTCTAATTACTTAAAACAAGCTTAAAATAATTATGAACAAAAAATACTAGTATTATTGTGATAAAAGCGTGGGTACTTAGTGCCATATTTTTCGTATATTGAGCGTCCGACGTTTTTATCACAATAATACTAGTATTTTTTGTTCATAATTATTTTAAGATTATTTTAAAAATTATTTTAAATTTTTTAGTTCAATGTACTTAAAAAGCGTGTTTTTTTAGTTTTTTTAAACTATATTTATTAAATCTTTATATCCTTATTAATAATATAAATTTAAAACATGCAGCTGAATTAAAATAATCTTTAAAAGTTCAACGTTTTTTAGATTATAAATTTTCATAAAAATCAACTTCAAAGGACAAAAAAAACATTTTGATCAGATTATTTATAACATATTAAAAATCAAAATTAATAGTAATTTGGAAAAAAAAACATTTTTTATAGGTAAATACTTGTTTTATACTAATCAATAATAATACTTTATATATATATTATAGTTAGTAAAACCGAACTCTGTATTGAAAATTTTATTATTTAGCCACGTTTCATTCAAACAATTTATATCATTTAATAAAACATTACGTAAAAATAAAATCTTAGATAAAAGACTACGAAAATTTTGATAAAAAGCATTTAAATTACATATAGTTAAATACTAATGCCGTACTTAACTATTTATAAACAAATCGATGATTAAAAATCATAAGTTGATTAGCTCAGCTAAACGGGCTATATAACTATACTACACATACTAAAATTTATAACTGTTAAATGCAGTGTAAAAATTTGATGCATGAGAAAAAAACAACGGTAGCACAGTGGGGTCGCGGCATAGTGGAGACATTGCATAGTAGGGTCCAGTATAGATTTAATCTGACAGTGATTAAAATCACTATCATAAAAAACGCTTCGATGAAAATCTGTAGATAGTGTTTAATTTTAAAAAATTGATGGATAATTGCAAAAGCAACATCAACTTCTATTAAAATAAAATACAAAACCCATAATTATCATACAAAAATAGTATATTTTTCAATATGGTAGCCATTTGCGTATAGAAGATAGATCGTCGGGACAAATTTTTTTTTTTCATTTTGTAGTACATAAAATAAGCTTTAATTTTATATATGTTTAAAGGACGCAGTATTTCCGGAACATTTTCAAAAATTAAGTTGAAAAAGTTATTTTTTGTAAAAAAGTTACTATTTTAAATCCTCCCAGTGAGCAGAATAAGTGTTAGATTTTCAAAAAAAATTATATCAAATGAAAGGGAAATATCTAAGGTTTCAATACAAAAAAATATTATTTTTATTTGTTCATTTTTGAAAAAGTTATGGCAGTTTTAAGTACAAAAAACATCCCGATAAAATGTAATTTTTATCGCAAACATTACATTTTTTTTTAAATTTTCGACAGCCATTTGCACATAGAAGATAAGATGTCGGGACAAATTTTTTTTTTTCATTTGATAGTATATAACATAACCTTTGATTTGATATATGTTTAAAGGACGCAGTATTTCCGGAACATTTTCAAAAGTTCAGTTGAAAAAGATCTATGTTTTTTACAATATTTTAAGTTTTGAACGCCCCCTATATAAGGGGAAATTGTCCAATTTTAATAAAAAGTATGTCAAATGAAAGATGTACTTATAATGTATTTAGAAAAAAAAAATTTGTGCTGATATATACATTTTTCAAAAAGTTATAGCATTTTTAAGTTGAAAATTTAAAATCGAAAATCGAAAATTTTAACACAAAAATAGTGTTTTTTTAACTACGGCAGCCGTTTAAATGTAGAAAAAAAAGTGTCGGGACATTTTTTTTTTTTTCATTTTGAAGTACATAAAATAAGCTTTAATTTGATATATGTTTAAAGGACGCAGTCTTTCCGGAACATTTTCAAAAATTAAGTTGAAAAAATTAATTTTTGTAAAAAAGTTGCCATTTTAAATCCCCCCCAATGAGCAGGTTAAGTGATAGATTTTCAAAAAAATGATATCAAATGAAAGGTAAATATCTAAGGTTTTAGTATAAAAAAAAATTATGTTGATTTGTTGATTTTTCAAAAAGTTATGGAAGTTTTAAGAAAAAAAAGTGAAAAAATTTCGAAAATTAGCGATTTTTAAATTTGTAATTTTTTTGGATATTTCCCCCATTATCCCCGATTTGCGGGAAACGAGGGAATTTTTAAGGGTAATGTCTTCAACTAGATACGATTTGTGATCTTTTGACGTATTTTTGAAAGAAATCGGTTCAGTGAGAGCTGAGAAAAAGTGGCAACAGACATAAAAAAAAAAA